CCCCTGTATACACGGACGGCGATAGGCGTGACTCAATCCTCAAAGTCCCCCTGCCTTCTACGCTGGTCACCCGTCGCTCACCCTGGCTCAACGACCTCCTCCTCCCACCTCCGCCCCTCTGCGGCGAGCCCCCGTCCTCTCCCCTTCCTTGGCCCCGCCATCCGCCTTGCTCTTCCTCCTCCTCGTCGCGGCGCCGCATCGGTGTCAACGTCCCAAGCCTTACCGTATTCGGCATGGGACCCCGCGCTCGGCAGCAGGATCCCGGCCCCCGCGCTCAAGCGCCGGGTCGGCCGACAAACGAACCGACGATGCTCTTGCTCTCTTTCTCTGTCTGTCTCCTCCCTTCCGTACGCTCGCTTCCTTCTTCTTCCTCCTCTGTCTCTCTTCTACTCCTCCTCCTCTTGTTTGTTTGCTGTCTTGCTCTTTCGTTCAGATGTTTCTTCTGTTGTGAGCAAGGTGCGTCTCTTTCTTTTCTTTTCTTCCCGTTACACATGCCTACCTATCTATCAATTCTCTCTTACCTACGGTGCCCCCTTTGATCTTTCTAACCGTTCTGACAAAACACCAGGTTGTACAACACAACCTTCCACTTTTGACGCCACGAAATGAATCCTGACTGAATCCGCGCGCGCTCTATCTTCAGTCTCCACTTGAATGTCTCCTTGAAAGAACCTCAAGCAGTCACGCGTCAAACAGAAATCTGGATGGACGAGGCCGTTCGCGTACGCGAACAATTCCGAAGCTCGGCACAGGAGGAAATACGACAGCGTCAGTCCTAACCAGAAATGTTTTCCTCTATCCGGAGCGCTCGCAACCGTGTGGTAGCCTTGCGACAACATCGACCACGTGAGGGGCAGCCTCACTTGCGCTTGCTTGCCCGTCATCCCTCGAATGCGATCAATCCCTTTCCCTGCCGCCGTAATCATACAGTGCGACGTGGGAGGCTCCCACCCCGTACATAGTTTATGGTAAAACTTGATAGCCGCAAGGTATCCCCGAACTGTGGACTGCTGGTTGTTGAACGAAAACAAACGACACGTCATAAATTCGAGGAGGAGCGCGATGATCTCGGGCTCGTCCATCGAATTCAACCATGGTTCTTTGCCCTTGTGTTTCCTAAATTCCAACCACGTCTTCCACTTCGCGGCATACACCTTGTGCGTGCTTCCCCCGATCGACGCGCTCACTAAAGTATCCACCAACCGCGCGACTTCCGTGCTCATCCCCCCTCCTTCCTGCCCTGTTCCCGAAGCGTCCGTAAGCGGAGGGTTCGAGGAAACGTTGGAGGTCACGGGGGTTGTTTGGTCGATGATTTTTAGTGAGGTGTCATCATGAGATTCCACAACGTTCGATCGTGACGGGGTTGTAGGTTCTTTTTCTGCAGTACGAAGGGACACACTTTTTCTCCGCGTGAACCGAGTGGTATCTCACGCCAATCGTTTGTGTTGGTGAATTGTCGGACCCTATCGGCTAGTTCCGACCTCGGCCATCGAGAGATCCCGTCCGCGAGCGTGTTTTGTACGCCCGGGAGGTGTTTTTGCCTCGTAACTCCATTCTCCCGAAATCTCGAGTCGTCCTAGCATTCTAATCATCAAACACGCGCGTTTGTCTCTGGCCCCGCCGCACCGGTTTGACCATGTGACGGCCGCCATGTTGTCACCGCGTCTTAGGGTCGTTGTTAGTTTGTGGGCGATCCCCTACGAGACTGTGCATTACCCAGGCGGTCACTACCATGCCCACGAGTCCGAGTAGATTGATCGTGACGCTGCAGGTCTCCCGACGCGCGGCCTTTTGTTTCAATTCGGTTGCGAAGTCCAAGGGCAAGTCGTATCTCCAAAACACCCTTTTCTCTGGACAGAAGCCGCCAATGGCGTCGAAAATAGCGTCTGATAGATAAAGTCGATTTGGCTGGCGTTTTACGACACCGTAGCACGGGGCGTTCAGCGACTCTCCAGCTGTGAGCAATTCGTGTTCGATTGCCCCCCTGAAAAAATCCAGGCCGTCGTGGAACTCTCTCCCTAGTTCTACAACGTGGCTACAGTTTCTCGTGTGTTTCCTGTGGAGTCCTGTGAGTCTCAACAACCCCCAGACGAAGTACTTTCCGGCCCGAACCACGTACGTGAGGTTCCACAGCTTCCCGGCTATGCTAAACACTTCTTGCGCTGTCGCTTCACGCTTGTGGCGCGGCCATTCGATTTCTAAGGCTGTTTTTATCGCCTCTGCTTTCTTCGTCGTCAAAGAGATTTTTAGCTCGTGCGAGTCGATGACGAACCCTAAAAATTCAAGCTGCGTGTCCCAGTTCGAACTCTTCTTCGGCGCGAGTATAGGAGTCTCCCCCGGTTCTCCCGGGCCGAACAAGCGAACGTAGTCTGATGCTAAAGACGCGGACACAGTCAGCGCTGACAGGTTATCGGCCGATTGCTGGGTTCTCAGGAGGCCGTGATCATCTACGTAAACGACTGACATGAAATTGCTCGACCGATCGCCTCCTTTTGTGGCGTGAACTGTGGCGTCATCCGGCACGGGCGTAGGGTCGCCTTCCTCCCACGGTTCGATGATTCTTACGTGATTCATCATGTTTACTCCTTCGGGCAGCAACTGCACGTTGTCGAGATTGGTATTACAGTGCGAGTGTTCAGCCGCGGATGCCATAACTCCGAAATGTCCCAGTGAGCCGGTCCAACCGAAAGTCAGGCGGAAATCGATGACGACGAGGTCGTCGACTACGTAGCTGA